TCTACTTTTTACCATCTTAAGATCATAAATTCTTACCATCTATTTCTCTCCGTGCAGATATTTTAAAAATATTTTTTTAATAAGAAGTTTAGTTTGAATAATTTAAAGAATGAAAAATATAATGACACTGAAGTTATCAACGTTGAATCGACGAAAAGTATTTTTTTTTCCTAAGATTGAATAATTCCCCGCCTTAGTTGAGAATTTTTAGTGTTTAAGGATGTATTTTGGACCTAAATAAAGAAGTTACAATTAAAAAAAACATGGTTCTTGGCCTTTAAATTAATCTGAAAACGAAAAATTCGTTCGTTGATTCGTCGAATCAACATTGGTAACTTCAGCGTCATAAAATATATGAGTAAAGTCTGTAACCATTTGATGGTTTATTTTTTTTCTTCTCTTTTCTTTGACTTTCTTAAGTTAAAAATATTACTGTGAACTCGACCGTGAGGTTTCCGTACAATGACATTACACACTAATGGCTTCGTAAAAAAAAACGCGCGGCAAATAACCAACACGTGCCGAAATTACGGCTCACTATATACATATATAATACAATCAATTTGTATACACGTTTTAAATGTGGAAAATATATATTATTCCTTAATTATAAATTTTTAATTCACACTCAAATCCAAACAAAGAAATATATACTTTTTAATTTCAAACATCACTGGATTTAAAGAAGACTAATTTCACTGTTAATTAAAAATAACCAATTAGAAACTTTCAAAATTACCTCAAATAGATTTGCAAAAGAATAGATTTAGAATCAAATTGTATATCAGAAAAAAATTTGTTTGGAACATTAAAATTTAGGTTGAATCAACCCAAAGTTTATTTAGTTCAATTTGAGTTCAAATACAGTTTACTTAACTCAAATAAAAATTATTTGGTTTAAGTAAATATTTATTTAATAATAGTCAAGTATAACCGATTATATTTGAATAATATAAATTTTTTGTTCGTGGTGACAAAATCACTATTTGAATAAAAGTCAGAGTGTGTTATTTATTTTAAATTGAAAAAATGACGTTATATATTGACTGTTTAGATTTAGCAGATCCAGGGTTAAGTCGCTGAAATCTCTTAACAAAGTGACTCTATTTCAGATGCATATTTTCTCTTTTTCTCAAAGCAGTTTCCAAGAAAGTGAATCGCGCGAGGACAAATTTGTCGCAATTGCATCTCTTCGTGAAAGCACTTTATAGAGCGATTCGAGAGCCATGGTACAACTCCTTTTCCATTACAGTCGACAAGTCGACATTCATCTGGGCCACGGCTCCTGAGGGAAATCTTATTCCTCTGAATTCACCGCTTTTCCAAAAAGACGCTTCGCTCTCCGCGATCTCTCGAGGTGTAACGGCTTAACTTCCACCGCTCCATAAACTCGATAAATTTCATGGGTTTTCGTATAACTCGACTCGAAGACTTATCTATACTGGGTGGTCACAAAAATTCTGTAAATAGCCGTTTTACTTTCCTTTTAGAAACACGACAAAAAATATATAAATTGAAAGGGAGAAGTATTTCTTTTCTTATTTTTTAACTTCTTATTAATCTATTTTTTTCTAATCTCAGCTAAGTACCTACTATCGGCAATTGTTCAGTGGGCAAAGTGGAAGTTTGCTTTACCTTACTGGCTATAAAATTCAGGTCGGTTGTTAATGTAAAAAACTGTTTTGTCGATGTGCGATAAAACAGAGTTCTACTTTACCGACTAAACAATTACTGCCGGTAGGTACTTAGTTGAGATCAGAACCTGGGGTCGTAGTCGTGTTTCTATAGTACTTCTGTGTGTAGAGTTTTCTTAGCTAGAATTTGTTATGTATTAGGATTTATTTGTGTGGATTCGTTACCAACTCCTCTCGGAGACTTTTTCCATTTTGGGGATTATCGAGTTTACACTTTTTCAGTGACTGCCTTTCAATTCCGAATTTATTATAATAAAAACACATTTTTATCACACAAGGATATAAATAAATTTTATGATGTTAGAATGGTAGAAAATAATTTAAGAATAAAATATTCGAATAAGAATCGGTTTCTATTGCAAAAAGATGTGAAATTTTCATTTTAGATTGAATATACAGAAAGTTTACGACCACCTATATACTTGGGGATAGTACTTTTAAAGCTTAAAGTTAGAAATCCTCTTCCGTATCGAGATTTTGGTATATCAAATCCTTCAACTTTTTTTCCCCTAAAACAATGTTAGAATTGTTGATCCATCGTGAATATGTCCATTGAATTTTAAATGTTATTTCCACGACCTTTTCATAAATAATCTTGGAATGAGAAAAATATAGAACGTGATGAAAAAGAAGAAGACTCAAAACTGACATATTCTATGCGTTATAGTAAACACGCGTGCTTTAATACGAACCGTGAGCTGCATGAGGCGTATCCCCAAAATCTAACAGTGGTGCTCATATATGTAAATAAACTCTCTCTCTCTCGCTCATCTTCGCGTTTTTCTCAAAATAGTTAATCATATATTAATTTGACAAATTAGATTCATAGTCAATATTTTCTTTTTACTTTCTTTGTGCTAAAAACGCGGAAAAACAAGTTTGGACATTATTTTCAAGCCTCATTCTTATATTGCTTTCTTATGGCGCACTCACGCCTTTTTGGCTGCCTACCTGCCTGCAGGACTTGTCATGGTAACACATGAGAGTAAGAGAGTTAAAAAATTCAAATTAAATGTTTTTTCTCCCTCACTCTCGTTGCGGCTGCCTGCGCAAGAAGTCGTGTTAGAGCGTCTTTAACATTTGTAAATAATAAAGCATTTCATATAAGCGCGCTCTTTCTTTCCAATGAGAGAGTTATCATGGCGCAAGCGTAGTTGCGCTTAGATAGTGTTATTGGGAATTTAAAAAAGAATTTAAAGAAAAATGAAAGTCACTGTGTTTCTGTGAGCACATCTGGCTGTAGGCGGTGGAAAGTTCAGAGTAAAATATAAACTATGGGGTGCCACCCCATCACTATCAGACCACCCTGTACATTGTATGTGAACGTAGGTAATGTGAAGCACACATGTTACATACTCTTGCAAAAGTTACACTAAACCAATGGCTTCTACATGTTTAAACTTATGAGAGAGTGTGAAACAACCCTAAAGTAGATTTCCACTTGTGATGAAGGTCTGTTTCCCCCCCACCCTTCTTCCTAGATTTTCATCTCTATCCCACCATACCTCTCAATTTCGGTTTCTATATGTTACAGCCCTTAAATGCGCAAAGGGTTGCTGAAAGCCATCGACGAAACTAATGGTTAATTGGGTTCCTCTTTTACATTACAAAATTCTCTAAAGAAACTCGGGAAGGGGACAAATTTTTTCCTCTACAGTAGAAAAAGCAAAAAAATAGACTTCCCCAATAAGCGAGAGAAAATTATGGAGCCTTTGAACTATATGCGAATGCAATTTAACTGCCGAAGCTATTTTATTAAAAAAAATTATATTTAAATATTTTTTCAAAAATTTTCCATTAAAACTTGTTTTAAAAATAGAAAATTAATCCAACAACAATTATTATTAAATAATAAGTAATTATTCATAAAAATTATAGTTAACAAGATTCCTGAACAAAGAATAAGAATTTCTCTCAGTCTTTGTAAGAAGATTTTTATTGTCGACACTTCTCTTCACCGAGAGTAAACACCAGGAAAATTGCAAAAGTAAAAGATCTATATGCAGCGTCGGTCAGAGTCCTTAATTATCATTTCTTTTAAACGGAAAGAGAGAAAAACGAAAAGTTGAAAAAGCCTTTTGTGAGGTAGAAAAGCAAAGAAAAATATGCAGAAGGTCGAGATCTTGGCTTGGTCAGCCACTTGGCGCAATGTTAGGAAATAAATGAGAAACGAACGTTTAATTCGAAAGGAGGGTTTGGAGAAAAATTCAAGGCGTCGGGAACTTAAACCCGAATTTAATTGAAGTCTCAAGTTATAAGAAAGACTAAAAAGGGAGTTTTTTCCACCAACTTTCTCTATGTGCGATAGGAGTTTCGTTTTTACTGAAACTCATTAGGAAACGAGTCGATATGTCGTAAAATCAATAATATTTTGTCTAAATAGTAGTTTAAAGTTTTTAATAAAAAGAAAAAACAATTAAGTCGTTTATCTTGACGTCAAACATAATTTTTTCCATTATTTTCTCTTTAAGGGAAAATTTTCAAACAAAAGTTTGCAATGAACTAGAAGACTAAAATTTAATTTAAATTTTTAAAAAATCACTAATTCAAAACATAATCTATAAATTCATTAATAATAGATTTTTATTTCACGATTTAGGTAGATGAAAATGTTTTGATAAGTATATTTCATACTATGAAGAGATAAATCTTTTTTTTGTGAATTCCATGTGACGCATCAGAAGAGTTTGATAGTGTATGTACATTAATAAATAAGCAGCATTATGAGAATGCATTGAGTCTCTGGGGACCATCGTGCTAAAAGCAAACCTTCAAGTAGATACATATTTTCCTTGATGATGTTCAAAATGGAGTGTCCTGCTGGGATTTCCCTACAGTTACAATCCATTAGACGCCATTAGAAGAGCTTCCAATTTAAGGAAGGGAAGATTTGATCTGAAGATATTAATAACTGTATCACTTAAGAGTAGGTGCATTGCAAAATACAATTTGATATTTTACATCCGACTAGAGAAGTAAAAGAAAATTTCATTCAAATATCAAGCAAATGAAGAAAATTACAAGATACAAACAAATGACAAATGTTACGCTTGTGCTCTTTTGTCACGTAATTCCAATTGATAAAAAAAATGATTATCAATTAAATAATTTTTTGCTTTATGTTACGTGTGAACGTTACCAATCATGCCTGGCAATTCACAGTTATAAACTAAAAATTTTGTTTACTTAATTTAATAAATACAACAAATCGATATTAAATGTTATAGTTTTTCCAAGTGCATATAATAATTGAGGGCAGTATACATAAATAGATTTCGTATTTTCGATCAAGAGAAAAATACTTACCCATCTGTGTTTGATGGCCAGAGCATGGTGCTGGTCTGACTTTGTCCGGAGGGCATCTTCTTGTCGCCGCGACAGTTGCAGGTAGGGGGATGCTCGTACCCCCCGGAGTACTTCCCGCAGCAACGACTGTCGCCTGCTTGTTGTAGGGTGAAGGTAGTCTAAAAACAAAGGAACATTTTTACAATTATTTTCTCTTCTCTCCTAGATACAATATTTTCTTTTCAATTATTTATTTATTTCTTTTTGAAATTCGAATATAGCTCACCATTGTCTGAATATAATATATTATAATAATATAATAATTGACAATTTATATACTAAATTATAAACAACTAATCAGATCAGATGTTCCCAGAGTACATCTTGTGTTGATGAATATTAATTTGCAGTATAGTCTTCATGAATACTGATCCCTTGTAGAATTAATGGAATCACGTATATGACGCTTATTATGTTGAAACTCAATCGCATTATTTATGCAGTTTAATTTTCTGTAAAATTTGTGCAAGATTTTTTAGAAGAAAAATGAAAAATGAAAACGTGTTTTCACACAGCAGGGACGGTACTCCCAACTTAAAAGACAGCGCTAAATAAAAATGCAGCAATGTTAGACGATTTAGTAAACTGAAATTTTCTGCTTTTCAATTTGCAAAAAACTTGTCAAAGAAAAAAAGAGAAGCCTCTTTGTGATATTGATTGCGTCGCTGTAGGGAAAAAGGAGAATTGAACAAGTAGGAAGAAAAGAGTGTTTCCTTCTTTCATGGTTAAAGCATGTTTGACGAGATCGTTCTCAATTTTCTTTGCCCCCTCCCCACTCTCTTTTTTCCACTGACTGTGAAGAATAACGAGGCTTTGTGCTCTCTCTGATTCGCACGATTTGAATGTACCGCCATAAAGATGTTGCTGGCTGATGAAAGGGAGAAAAGAGAACATGGTGACAAAGAAAATAAAAAAAATATATAAATAAAATCTTGTCTTGACATATATAGGGTTTCCATGCAGACGATTCAAGAATTTGGAATTTCATTTTACTTGGTTAAAAATAACTGTATCTTATGAAAAATACGTGACAAGATTTTAAAATAAACGAAGGCTCATCGTTTTCTAATCTACACACTGAACAATTTTATGTACAAAATAGATTTTAGAAAAGAAGGTGTTTTAAATTAAATTCTTAAAATGTAATAAAGGGATTTTGCATAAATTAATAAAATCTTGATAACAAAAGACACGTGAATCAATTTAGCGCCTGTATTTTATATATATACGAGCATAGAAAGTATCTATAGGTGGGTGGCAAAAGACCTCAGAACTGTAATGATGTTATTTATGGGGTGAGTTAAAAAGACATTTCATCCCACGCTGACCACTTATTCTTTACATCGCATTAACTTCCAATCGTAATTACTATCGAAATCCTAAATTTATCTGTTTAAGAATATTCCTTGAATTCAAAACTTGTACAATGTTAATTCATAAAAAATGTTTTATTTCTCGTTCACTTAACTTTGTTTCTAATGTAATAACTTTATTACTTTTTTCAATTCCAGATGTAATTTAAAACAGAAAGCTGTTTTGTTAAGTTAACCAAACATTATGATTTTTACGAATTTGATTTCTTTCTAGCATAGTATCATAAGATATTATGCGCCCACGTGAAGGAGAACTGGCAGTGCAACAGCAGGACACACCTCGAATTCTTTTTCTCATATACACTAACAATACGTACAAGGCATGGCATTGTGCTTTATTGAAGAGTTTACCAAGGAAGAAAAAACTTTTGACACAAATATATGTATATCTTCAATAAAGTGTAAACTTTAGTAACAATATTATGACAGATTTGATAAAGAGTATTTTAAAAAACGGCGTGATTCTAAACAAATTTTTGGAATTATTTCTCTTAAAATTCAATGATCATAAACGCGGTTCTGAACGTCAATTCTAATTTTTTTTAAACTGTGTTTTCTTCGAATAAAAAACTAATTAGTCCACATTATCGAAATAAATTAGCCTTTCTTATACGATTCACAAAGTACACGAAAACCGAGTTTCCACGTACTTTGACGAGTGGGTTTAAATTACCTATGACTTATGAGAGAAAAGACCCAAATTATATAAAACTTATTGTCAGTTTTAATTGCTTTGCAAGCACCATCTGATCCTATGATCAATTTCAGGAAAGCATTATCAAGACCAAACGAGACCGTGGTAGTTCGACCAATTAGATCCCTTCTGGAAGATTGTTGTTTAACGAATATATACTTATAGTTTTCAGATTCGTCAGTTAGAAAAAATCACAGGTCACGCCCTGTCGTGTCCTGATTAGCCCTCCTCGCAAATAGATCGTGAGTAAAATGCTAAGAATAACTGCTAAATTGAATATTTAGCTGATGTTTTCTAAGATTCAAATGATAAAAATACTTTATACGTTAATAACATATTAGAAATAGACACTGTAAAACTAGTTTGTTCGGTATTAAAAAAACTTGGTAAATAAGTTTCAGATTGTTTGCGGCAATGGATTCTTTCAAAAATCTGAATAAAGAAAATTAATTAATTAATAATTAATTTCGAAATTCTCTGGAGTATTAAATGATGTTACTCTGTATGTTTATTTACTGCAATGATATTTAATTTTTGGAAATTTATGTTTAACTTTTTTATGTACCTATTCATATAAAGAGATTAATTAATATACATGTTTACTAAATCTTATTGCGAATATAAAAAATATAAAAATGTTTGTATATTATTTAAATATAAATTAAAGATCATCAATATAAAATATATCATTGATGGACGAGGATTTATTAGAAATGAAAATTGCTTTTTGAGAATTAATGAAATGCGTGATATGGAGCCTGTTTTTAATCTGAGCAGGTGCACTCGGAGAATCGTGCAACGCACAATGTTGGTATTTCTGCTACGTCGATTCTAACGACAGAACGACTGACTCTACTATGGGGAAACATTTGATAAATTCGGGTAGAAATTTACAGAGAGGGAAGTCGCTTGGCAATTAAAATGGAATTAGACAAAACATTCTGGAAAATTGTCAGAGCTCTCGAAAATTTAACAAAAGCCTTTGAATTCAAGCTTATTTGAAATGAATATAAAATTAACATACATTGTGAGAATTTTTTCATATATAATTTCTTTTAAATAATTAGTCAATTATTCAAAAGAATTTATAATAAGTTTGAATTTCTCAAAATTTGAGTTGATAAAAAGATTAATTCAAAAATTATTTAATGAAATATCCGAAATTATCGTCAGATTATTTATTATACACTGAAAAAAGGGTTTGGTATTGACAACCAAATGTTTGGTTGGTATTTAAGCAACCAAAATTTTTTTGTTGAATCAACAAAATTTTAATTGTCTCAATCAAAATTTGTTTCACACAACCAAAATTAGAAAAAAATGATTTTTGTTGTTCTAACTAAAGTTTGATTGGGACAGCAAAAATTTTGCTGATTCAATAAAAAAATTTTTGGTTGCTTAAATACCAACCAAACGTTTGGTTGTTAATATCAAACCCTTTTTCAGTGTATTATATATTATTATTTTCAAGAAATTCTCTATTTTTTTAATTACAATATTATAAAAAAATTTATTATAAGATAAAAACAGTTTTCTATGGATAAAACCATCTCTGGTATTTGAGAATTTTCAGTATAATTAAACAGTTGTTAAATAAGTGAAAATCTTGAATTGTAAACTAGTCAGAGAAGGGAAGTTGATGAAGTAGGTAGAAGGTAGATATTTATAGGATGGAGAAAACAAGCAACCTATGAAATTCAAGGCATGTGAGTATCATCGACGTCCTGCAGGGGCAGGGGCAGGGGCGCACATTGCGGATAATTAGTGAAATTCTCATCCCCTAGTTTGCACCAATAACCATTGCTAATCACACACCTACACCTATTGTCTTTGACGCCCCGTCGCCTCACGCCCGGTTGCTTTAATACAATCAAAATCTCTTCTCACCTTGTTTAACGTGTATGGAAAAAATTTATGTTTTCTACAAATGATATGATATAACCGTATCCCATTTATAATCTTCACTAATTCTGAAATTATTTATCATAGATTATTATCATCAAAGGTGAATATTATTTACTGAAATAAAAGTTTCGTCCTGTCAAAGAAGAAATAAGTCTTAAGTTGAATAATTTGAATTTTTTGTATTCAATATGACTTTCAGTTAAAATAAGAAATATAGGAGCACGACTGTTCAGAAATAAAATTAAAAAAAAAAACATGAACAACTCTATAGGGAGGCAAAATGTTTCTGTATACAATAGAAGCTACCTCTCACGTGAAACTTACAGACCGCACAGTTGAAGAGATTTTGAGATAGGATTGTGTTTTCGGGGATCGAATCAAGTGAATACATACAGAAAAGAAAAACGATAGAAGGATCCTGAAATAAGCCTCACACGTTTGTTTTCTCCGATAAATGTTTTGCTATACACTTTACACCAGAGTTACTTTTTTCACTTGGGCGATAAGAGTGAAACATCCGAGCTCAGTAAATGAAAGCAGCTGATACGAGGAGATAACAATAAGTTAGAAATCTCGAGGGAGAAGCACTTTAATTTCAGAATCATCCTTATTCTTTCATGAGTAACAATTTTAATATTTTGGTGATATAGAAAGATATATATTTTCTAAAACGAAGAATTAATTTTTTTTTAAGGAATATAAATCTTGTATATACGATAATAATTCTTATCAAGGACTGTATTCTAGGTCTCTTAGGAGTATATGTACATATATTATACACATTATTCTCTGTTCTTATTAAAGCCTTTTACCTATGTACTACATTGATGGTGCTCCTACATCTTTTCTCGATCTTCCCCATGGGATTGAACTTTCCAAGTTGGCGTAATAATAAGTGCTCTGGGGAGCAGAGGATGCATATAATTTAACACCATTGGAGATTCATTTTGACTCAGGATGACACGATTAATTCTCAACGTAAATGATCGTGTAGACATCACATAAACATCTCCCTTGAATCCTATTAACATAATATCGTAGTCACAAAACCATCAGAACACAGACTCGACAAACTTCTTGATGGAATCGAAGCAGCAGGAGGCTGAGTGTTACAACGAGGTAAAGTCGTTCTTCATATACGTTAGGG